ATCTGTCAGAATTAAGAACTCTTCTAGAAAATATGTATCAAAACAGTGAGATACAATTAATTCTCAGCTTTAAATGAAAAAGGAGGCATAATGCATGACATTGGCTATTTTTCCATATAATTACACTCCAAAACCAAAAAAAGAATTAGAGGAGACTCTTCATTTTAAAGACCTTATTTGAAATTATGAGGAGAAATTCAGCAGTGAAACGTAATGTTTGAGAATTAGTTACGAAAACAATAACAACTTTTTTATTCATCTTGTTATGTAGATCAATAGATCAGAAAGGTAGTCCATACAAAGCTGTTTTGAAAGATGATTTTCTATGATGTTTTCACCTTTCTACGTTTTCTGTAAGCAATTGTACTGGCAGCATTTGTTTCGAACAATCAGCCTATTTGTAGAATAAATTGTTTTGGAAGACAAAAATTGAGACTCCAGAATAAGACCGTGACCCGGGAGAGACAGTACAGACTGGATTCTTACCTCACGTTATATCCAAAAGTTACCTCTAAATGGATTAGAAAGGGGTGGGAGATAGCACAGGGCTTGATGGCACATTCATTAAATGTTCAGAGATCCTGTTTGATCCCTGGTAATAGTCCCACACCACCACTGAGTGTGACGTTGGGGTGGGCCTGGTGGACCCCAACATGCTACAGAGGCTCCGGGCCTGAGCAGCTTTGCAGTATTGTAATGTCCTATCCAGCCAGTTAGTTGACTGAGTATCACAGGAAATGGCCCCCTGAGTACTGTTTGGAATTGAAATTATAAGAGTACACTGAATAGGGATCAAGCTATCTATAGCAGGTAGGGTACTTGCCTTGCATGTGGCTGACCTGAATTTGATCTCTGGTACCTGACATCATCAGCTTAGCACCACCAGGAGAGATCCCTGAATGTAGAGCAAGGAGTAAGCCCTGAGCATGACCCATTGTACTCCCCCAAACAACCCCCAAAAAAAAATCACTGAGTAATACATTGTCAAAACATGCCATGATAGCTTCAGTGTCGTTTTGGAGACTATTCCAATGGCAAAAGAATCAAACCAAAAATTAACAAATGGTGAGACTGAAAGATAGTGCACTGGGAAGAATGTTTGTTTTTCTTGCAGCTGGGCTGGATTCAATTTCCTGAACTTTAAATGGTCCCCCCTGAGCATTGCCAAAAGTGGTTCCTGAGCAAAGAGCCAGAAGGCAAGCCTTGGGCACTGACCACAAGGACCAAAAAACAAAGGGAAGAAATTTTAACTACTGGTTTTACATAAACTATAAAACACGACACAGAGAAAAATTATTTTTAAAAAATCTGTCCTACTAAAAATGAAAAAAATTAATATACAATGGATCTGACAAGTATTCAAGATATATAAATAATTCTCAAAATTCAGTGAAATAACACAAGAAAAAAAACCAGGCTCATTCAAAAAAAAAATTTAGGGCATAAGTTAGAGAGAACAGAGAAAGCACAAAAACTACTCGTATCATTTATTATCAAGGAAATATAAATCAAATACCCCCACCACCATCCTTACTTCAGCAGTGAGATATCACCTCACACAGTTGAGAATGGGCTGCATCCCAGCCCAGAACCTGGGAAGGGCATGGAATCCTAATAACTGTTGGTAGAAATGTAAATTGGTCTAGCTTCTATGTAAACAAAATATTTAAAATAAAACTACTATTTGACCTCGCAATTCCAATCCTAAGTATCTATGCAGGGAAAATAAAAAGGTAAAGGTAAAGGCCCTCCCATTGATCGTCGATTTGCTCGAGCGGGCCCAGTAACGTCTCCATTGGAGACTTTGTTGTTACTGTGTCTGGCATATCGAATACTCTCGGTAGCTTGCCGGGCTCTCCGAATGCAGGGAAAATGCAAGAGGAAAATGCTAATTTGAAAAGGTATATTCATATAGGTTTAAAATAAAAATAAATAAAAAAAGAAAAGATAGATTCAGAGGACTATTACAATCTTTACAATAACCCACCCAGGGCCCAGCAACAGATGAGTGGATAAAAATTTGGTCTACATGCACAACGGAATACTACTCAGCTACAACAAAAGATAAAATCTTTCAATTTGCAACAGCAGGGATGGAATTGAAAGGGGGTCAAGTGAAGCAAAAATAAATCAGAAGGAGAAAGACAAATAATGAATAATCTTATTCATCTGTGGGATATGAACAAAACAAAGTAAGGTCATAGCAAAGCCAAAAGAAACAAGCCCTTGTCTCGGGGAAAGAGACAGGTTGAAAGGGTAGAGTGATTTCAATGGATTGTGACCAGGGATGCTGGTGGCCAATAAAATGATGCCTGTGGGAACTAGAGAAGTAAAAATGGAGCCCAGAAGTAGATAGCCATCTGGGTTTTATAGTGATTGATTCCCCAAACCTAACTTAGTAGATGTCAGCAAGAATATATAAATGTGCCTTGATTTATTGTAGAGGTTTTCTCCTTTCCCAGGAACTTTTCCAGAGTAACAACTGCTTGTCATTAGTTGCCTTAAAAGAATGGTGAGAGATGGTTCACAAGTCCCCAGGATGGCTAGCAAATAACTTCAAATGCATCAGCAAGCTAAGATTTCTACCACGAAAAGGAGTTTTATACTGTTTTCCAGACATGAAATGGATCTCTTACGATTTAACGCATATACAGGAACAAAAGTCAATATATGCACAATCAAGGGAAATGAGAGCTAAACCCAATCAGCAATCCAGGTTTTTGCAAAATTCCTCTAGAAGTTCCTATAAATGCTACTCCTGATCAATGACCCAGGAGGCAGTCCCTTGAAACATGAATTTCCCTGTCTGCGATAGCACAGCGGTAGGGCGTTTGCCTTGCACGCAGCCAACATGGCCGACCTGAGTTCGCTTCCTCCGCCCCTCTCGGAGAGCACAGCAAGCTACCGAGAGTATCTCGCCTGCACGGCAGAGCCTGGCAAGCTCCCCGTGACGTATTCGATATGCCAGACACAGTAACAACAAAGTCTCCAATGGAGACGTTACTGGGCCCGCTCGAGCATCACAAATATGTATATATATATAAATATATATATTTTTTTTTCTTTATTTAACTAAGCTTGATTCTCTATTTGCCTTGTACTCACTAACAAACAAAACACAAAATCTGAGTAACATGGGAACTTAGGTGATTATGTATGGTATGGTAATGTATATTTTTAAGAGGTTTTACACAGTATCAGTAAGCTATATACAGTCTTGTAAATCAATGTTACTTCTATAAAAATAAACAAAAAACTGTCTTTTGCCACCTGGTAATTTTGTTATTAGAACATTATTGAACTAACTAATGCCTCCATTTTCTTATCAATAAGTGAAGAAAGTAATGTCAATTTAATTTTAGAAAACTTTGAGAATTAGTGAGTTTAGGATTTAGAATTAATGTGCTAAATAATATGTGGTGCATATTGAAAATGCAAGAAAGGTAATTGATTATTTTAATTTTATGTCGCTGATATATTTAATTAAGGTCTCAACTTGAAGGCAGTTACTTTGTAATCTTTTTTTTTCTTTTTGGGTTACACCCGGCAATGCACAGGGGTTACTCCTGGCTCATGCACTCAGAAACTACTCCTGGGGCGGTGCTTAGGGGGCCTTATGGGATGCTGGGAATCAACCCAACCCGGTTCCACCATGTGCTCAGCAAACGCCCCACTCACTGTACTATCGCTCTGGCCCCTAGTTTGTAATTTTTAATCTATTATTGAGATGCTGAATGAAAAATAATTTCAAGCTCTTTATGTGTTAAGTAATTTTCCAGTTAAAATCCCCGATGGTTTAGTAAAACAATATTTTTTAGTGTTTCCCTTTTGAAGAATGCTTCCTAATTAAAGAACGTCTCTCATCCCAATTTTCTACATAAGACATGAAAGGCCAAACAAAACCCCTCTCCAATGAACTGTAAATGTACAATATATTTTAAAGGCTTATTCTTTCTTTCATAGATATCAGAATGACTGAATATCATCATATGAACATAGAACTTTTCTTTACAGCACTAATCAAAAGGTCAATCATCCAAATATTGCTTGTCTAAAGCAATGTTTCCATTGGTGCTTTCACTATGTGGTGACATTTCTCTGAATGGTCTCAAATAAAATAATCCAATTTTATAAAGGACTTTCTTTTTATTTTTCTAAAACCATAATAATTAAAGGTAAAATCCCCAAATACAAAAATAAAAGAAGCAAAACAAAAAAAAATCTGATTTAACTTGCCTAGTTTCCCCATCTTTTTTCCAAGTAACTAATCCCCTCTCAAATGGTACAATAGAACTTCGAGACACACACCAAAAAAGGAAATAAAACTGCTCAGTCCGTGCATTGTTCTTGCTAATCTGCACCATTTACATGAGGGTTAGAAGGCTTGTTTTGTCATTTAAACAAGCTTAAAAGCCTCTTTGCAAATGAGATTTAGTTTCTACAAAAGACTGTATTCCAGCTCTTTAGTGAGTTTCTGCTAGACTAGCACTGGAGCTGATTTGGCAGTAATTTAAACTACTTCTTTGGCCTCATACAGTATATGCAAAGATTGCTTCCAGCTGCCAAAATTGAAAAGCATCAAACTGATTAAATTTTTTTCCAGGAGGTGAGCAGGATCAGGGCAGGTTAAGAAGCTAATAATATCAGATCTTAAATTATACCTGGGCAAACTCATCCTTTATGCAGGTGCAGTGAAAGTAGAGTTGAACTGTTAGAACTCCTGAGTTTTCCCTCAAAAGGTAAACAGCAAATGAAATTCAGAGACAGAATTAAAATTCTCTCAAACTGTGAAGAAAATCTAAATTCTTTGATTCATTGTTGCTTTGAGTGTCAATGGACACAAGAATAAATTGCAGGACTGAGTCCGGTGCCAATATAAGCACAAACAATAACTAGAAGGAAAAGATATTCTAAACACAGAGTAGATCCTTTGCATCAGAATCTCGGATGTTGAAAATCAAGACTAAGTCCATACAAACTTTACCAATGATTTGTTTTACCTGGCACACCTTGAACAGATGTTCAGTGTGACCTTGGCCTGAGGTTCAGCGGGGTAAGTAGCTCGACCTTGATTAAATTTGCTCCCAGAAGGTGCCAGAGTTGTTACTCCCTCCATTCTTAAATCATCAAGATCTTCTGTAACAACATAAACAATTGGAGAGAGAGAAAAAATTAACTCCAATACATCTAAGAAAAAAAGATCATGTTTTCAGGTATCTGCTAAGAGGTTGTGTGTGTGTGGGTGTGTGTCTAGCACATTGGATTCTTCTTTGCAAAGATCTTACCTCAAACATTAATTATCAAGCACAAAAATTTGTTAGTCTACAACTGTACCTCATGGGGTTTTACTAATAAAAATTTAAGGAAAAAATATATATTAAAAAACATTAATTATCACTCAATGAATGTCTAGATGTAATTATGAGAAGATACACGGGAACAAAATGGTGAGATTTTTGATCTCTTTGAACAATGAGCAGATCACAGGCTACTTGGATCTAGATTCTACCACTTCTATCCTCATATGGGAGACGCTGAACCAAAAATTCAGCAACAATCGCTCTAAACAGGCAGAACTTGGTCAATGTCTACCAGCTTTTAATTTTTGTCTTTGTTTTCAACTGAGAAACAAACAGTCAAAAAAGGATAAATGTGCGTCTAAATTATTCATAATTTTTAGTTTCTAAGTAGCTTGTTTTCAGCTTTGCCATCAATAACTTTATATGAAATAATATCTAAAGCTTTTTCACATTTTCATTCTTACCTTTCCTTTTTATTTTACCCATGGGGAACAATAATATGTAATGTAGATATACTGACATTTTAATAACACTTACTGATGGTGAATGGAAGAAATCGCTATAACTCAAGATACGTGCTTTAAATAAAGCTTCCACTTAGCTTACTGGGATTTTGGTTAAACAGAAACTTTTGAGAGGCAAGAGCAGATAAAAGCCTTACAATTTATTCCAAGAAAAGAAACTCAAATTTAAACTATCAAATGCCCCTGAAAATCCATTTTAAGGTCAATAAAAATACAAGAACTAAATTAAGTTGATTCATGATGAATTAGACCAAACTTTTGGACCTCAAGTGTATAGACCTGTGGCACTTTCTCCAGACTTTGGCAGTGGGCACATGTCTGAGAAAGTAACTAACACTAGCTGCTGAAGGAAATAAGGAAATTGAACTGGACCTATGAGTTATGGCTTTCCCACTGGTCTCCCAAACTTTGTGTTATTGATTTCTATACTTTTCCCTTTTACTGCCAATTGAATTGTATACTTGTACTCTGATAATATAGATTCCATTCAATAAATTTGAGTATGAATTTCTATTATAGGTTGAGTCATCAGTAAAAACTCTCTACTAGAGTATAAGTTAGGATACTGAAATACTGAGATCTGAACTTCAACATATATATACATATATATATATGAATAGTTATACCCTAGGTATTTATTATAGTCCCTTTATTTCTTCCATGGGTCCTCAATCGGTATTAAAAATTCTAAGTCTTCTTTTTGTTTTAAGAATTAAGTCCTCATACAATACAATACATGGCCTTTATTTTATTTAGAGAAAATGAATAATCTCTTTAGTAAAATTTTAATTAAATGGCCTCAACTTAGCAAAAGAAGGACACAACACTTCAAAAGATAAATTATAATTATCACTTGATCACTTGACATCCTGTTACTCGTTGATTTGCTCCAGCAGGTGCCAGTAATGTATCCATTCTCCCTGTCGCATGCTAGTGTAGCCCAATGGCATCTGCTCATTCTAGGACCACGAACACCCTCAAACCAATAGTTAAGGGTCTTGAGGAAGAAGTCCAACCATCTCGTAGGTGGGTGGCCACGTGATCATTTGATGTCCCGTGGAATCCAATCGGTAATGGCTCTGGTCCAGTGATTGTCTCCAAATCTCATTAAGTGCCCAGCCCATCTGCTTTTTGACATCTTGGCAAACGAGACAGTGTCCCTGATTCTTGATCATCGACAGAGGTCAGAACTCCAGATACTTTCTCTCATTTGTGTGAAGCGTGATACTCCAAGTAGAGCTTTTCCGACTCCTCTTTGGGAGACCTAAATAGCATTCTCATCCTGTTTTCGTAGGGCACAGGTCTCTGAGGTACATGTTAATGCAGGAAAAACAGTGGAATTAAAGAGATGTGCCCAGAGCTGGAGGTTCTTCATCCTCTTAGCTATTTTTTCAATGCTCTTGGAGGCATTCCAAGCCGCTCTCTTCATCCTGTGCAACTCAGATGCCAGGTCATTCATCATGTTGAATTATTGACCTAGGTACACATAACTGTTGCACTCAAAAATGTTGGTCCCATTGAGAGCGAATGGAATGTCAGGAACGAGACCATTTCTCATAAACATGGTCTTTGTGAGATTTATCACTTGATCACTTGACATCCTGTTACTCATCAATTTGCTCCAGCAGGTGCCAGTAATGTATCCATTCTCCCTATCGCATGCTAGTATAGCCCAATGGCATCTACTCATTCTAGGAACACGAACAGCCTCAAACCGATAGTTCAGGGTCTTCAGGAAGAAGTCTGACCATCTCATAGGTCGGACTTTCCACACTCATGGTTGAAGTCAGGCAGCATTTGTGCTGCTTGGCTGATGTTTGGTGTTATTAGAACGATGTCATCAACAAAGCAGAAGTGGTGTAGTTGCCGACCATCTATCTTCACTCTCATTTCTTCTCATTTCAGTCGTTGCATGATGTTCTTGAGGGTGGCACTGAAGAGTTTCGGTGAAATGGTATTACCCTGCCGAACCCCTCTCTTTTTTTTTACTCTTAGTATGACTTTATTTTTTTTCTTCTTTTAACTGTTTAAACATTTTTATTATGTACATAATTTTGTAAGAAAAGCAAATGATATATTCAAAGAAAAAGAACTGTAATTCACATATACTCACTAATTCATATGGAATCATATAATAGAGGTTTAAATTTTAAAAATAATAGAGGAAGTTACAAAGATATGAAATTTCTAAATGATATTTTTAAGGAATCTATCACTTATATAAAGGAACATGTGAATATAAATGAAAGAAAGTTAATAAAGAATGCTTCTAGCCAAAACAATAATGTTAAATGAACTACAAATACTAAATCAATCATAAACAGTTACACATTCTTTTTTTTAATTTTTTAAAAATTTTTAATAGTGAGACATCACAAGGTACAGTTGCAGACTTACACATTTTTGTGCTTGGGTTTCAATTATACAGTGATCAAATACCCATCCCTCCACCAGTGCCCATTTCCCACCACCACAGATCCCAGTATCCCTCCCACCCCCCTATCCCCCTTCCCACCCTCCCTCCATGGCATTCCCTTTTGTTCTCTCTTATTGGGTGTTGTAGTTTGCAAAAGAGGCAATGGGTGACAATCATGTTTGGTCTATAGTCTACTTTCAGCATGCCGAACCCCTCTCTTGACATCAATTATCACCTCCCTGTAGAATGGTGAGATCATGATAGTGAATCTGCAATACAGCTCACGGAGGATCCTGATGTATTGAGTTTGTATTCCCTGTTTGGCTAGGGCTTTGATGACCTCTTCCATCTCAACAGAATCAAAGGCCTTCTTTAAATCAATGAACATTAGACAGAGCATCATCTTGAACTCCCAAGAAACCTCACCGAGCTTAGTTATCGTTAGGATATGGTCGATCGCGCAGAATCCTTTTCAGAAACCGGCTTGCTCGTGTGGTTGTCCTTCATCTAGTGTTCTGCCAATCCTATTCAAGATGACTCGAGTGAACACCTTGTAGATGACAGACAATGGGCAGATCGGGTGATAGTTTCCAATGTTGTGGATGTTTTCTTTCTTGTACAGTAGTACAGTCCTGCTGGTTTTCCATTGGGACAGAACCTTGCATTCAGATAGATAGCGTGTTTGAAGAGCCGAGCCAGAGTATTGATGAGTACTGATGGCAGGTTCTTCAGGTGTTCAGGTCTGACCTTGTCTGGGCCAGGTGCTATTCACTATTTTACGAATGAAATTGCATGTCGGATTTCGGAAGGGAATGACATATTCATCCTGCAGAATTTGGTATGTGAGCAGGTGGACATGGCTATCGAAGAGATCCGAGTAGAAGTTATGGATAATCTTCTCCATTGCCCTTATGGAAGATGTGAGAGATCCATCAGGACATCAGAGGGCAGTCATCTTGGTCTTGTAGTTGACGAAGCACAGGTGGCCTTTGCGAATGCTTTTCCCAGCTTCTGCTGTATCTGCCAGCACTGCTGCTCTTCTCTTTGAGGTCTTCCTTTATAGCTTTTTTTGCTTTGCAATCTCGGACATTCGCGTGTGGTTACCTGAGACTTGCGCCAAGTCACGTTGGCAAACGAGCTTGAGACTTTTCGAAGACAGGCATCTTTTTGTGGCTATCTCTCTCTTGGCATTCCTCGCACAATCCTGGAGGTGCTGAACCAGTCTATTGTATTCCTCGTCAATATTGTCAAGGACAGCATCTTCCCATGTTGCCACAATAGTGCCAAAGAGCTCCCAGTTGGTGGCTGTTCTGGGAGTTTTCTTCTTAAACTTTGCAGCCCTTTCTCCCCACTCCATGAAGTAGAATTTTGTAGAAGGAGACAGTGGTTTGATCTCGTTTGGAATTTTGGGACAACAGCAACATCGGTCAGGCGAGACCGTTGATTGAATATGATTGGTCAATTTTTATTGTGGAATTATAATTATAAATTATAATTTTGATGAATTTAGAGGTTGTAACATGTACAAGAGGGAACTCAGACATTTTTGATAAGGTTAATCAATACTCTAAACCCTCTCACATAACACATAAGATAACTTCTAGCTTTAACTCTATACTGCAAATAATGTATGTCAAATGTTCTTGAGAGTATAACTTTTAACCATGGAACTTCTATTGATCTAGTTATGGACTCCTCTGCTGAAGTCAAGTTTTCTCATGACACATATTACAATTAGATAACACAACCCTTTGCAGCTTTCTAATTAGTATTTCATAAGTTTCTTTTAGTTTCTCCCCCTCACATTGCTATTCACCTTTACAATATTTTTAACTACTACTCTCCTGTTCCAATTAGAACAAGGAGACCTCATGATTTTCTTACCTCAGTTATCAA